GGAGTTCCACGTGATCCCAATTTTCCTTTTTGCTGGAAAAGTTTGGCTGTTGGAAATGGATAAGGTCAGTATCCATTCAATTGGTGCCATGACAGCACATTTTTCCTCCGAGTGGCAATAAACAGCCCGCCTTAGGTTGCCCCGTCAAAGGAGGGACCACGGCAGGGCTGACGTTTCAAATTTAGGTACCCTGAATCCGGGAAAAAATTCCCCCCTGTATTATGGGTGCATATCTTCCAGAAAGAAATTCCAGTGTTTGGAAGTTATAGAGTCTGATTGTTCAGTGTTGAGAAGTTAGGATCAGTGTAGTAATGCGCTGTGCATTATCAAAACAGGACCTCGATGGTGGGTGTATAGGAACGAAAATTCTAAGAAACTACTTCCCCGTAAAGCAGGGGGCTACGCACATGGGGGTACTCGTGCAATGTTTCCTAGAAGTCGCAATACGACCTCGACAATGAGTGTGTCGGAAAAAAGTTAGAAGAAATTTCGTCTCATAACGTCTTTTCCGGCGTCACTCACGTGCTGGCTGTACTTCGAACAATCTGGAGGTGGGGTCTTAAGGAAATTTTCTAGAAACTTCCTCTCGATAAGGTCAAATTCGGGGTCTACAGAGTCGATTCTCGGTTAAGTCAGGGTCCACTAACAGACTAGTCTGTTGTACTATACTCAAAAATCAGGGATACGAAATCTATAACTCTGATTGGATCTGGGTTGAGAACTCATTAATTCTGAAATTTCTGTCTCCACTAAGCAGAAAGCCTGAAATTACCTTAAAATCAGGGCAATCACCCTAATAAAAACAGCCATGAATCGCGGGGAATTGCAAATATTATTTATTGGATATTCCCATCACATATCATTCCAACAATGCATCTGTAAGTGCAATTGTTCCTTATTTCCCTCCTTGTCAGACGAAACTGTCGTTTATATTTGCAGCGAACAGTTCAATATTTTGGGGAGAGTAGTCTATGGTGTACTATTTCACATTCTCAAGTGCTGGATACCCACATCTGAACAATTAGTGTACTACAGAACGCAATAATGAGAGAAATGGACTATAAATGGGCGTGTGCCTAATCATAATAAAGCGTGCCTTACATAGTTGGCATTCAATCAACGTCAATAGCCAGTTGCATCCACCCTGCATCAAATCCAACTGCTACATTCAAACAGGAATATCCATCTTGCAGAGATTAATTTCCAGCACCTGCCACATACAAAGGGAAATGGATGAATACACTGGTCAAGCAACATAACTGACCCATCAAGACGAACCACCCATTAAAGTTAGCAGCTAAAATAGTGACCCCCCCCTTCTAGTTGGGTCCACTTGAAATATCGTACTCACTTTGGGAAGTTGGAAGTGTTGTTCCATAATTTTTGTTCAGGCGCGAGAAACACTGATCGAGTCTATCACAAAATTTCAACAATCGTCGCAAGCATATGGCAATGTGTCGCAGGTTTGTGACATGCAAATCCCACGCACATCTCGTGCCAATTTTGACTGCAGGATGAGCAGTTCACGCACAGCAAATGCTTTGGACATGGGCGTGCTATGTCTGCAATCACAACATAGGAAACAAAAGAGGAAAATAAGAAAGAGATTCAACGTGATGAGATAAGAGATAGGGCGACGGAAACGTCGACACGGGAAGACAAATCAGTGCAAAAAATCGCTGAAAGGTAGGGCGACGGGAGGGTGGCGTGAGGATTAGCGCGAGGGCGATGAGATGGGTGATCAGAGGGGAGAGAAGTGCCACGGGAGGGCATTTTGAGGAGAGCGCGAGAGCGATGAGGTGGGCAATGTGAAGAGACACACAAAAGGCGAGGGGCAGGCATTTCAGGGCAAGCGCAAGGTCGACGAGATGGGTGATTCGAGTGGATATACGAACGGCGCGGAGAGGGCGGGTCAGAGCGAGCGGGAGTGTGACGAGTTGGGCAATAGGAGGGGAGATTGGGTGGGGGACGAGAGAGCGACAGCGATGGGAAGGGAGGGGAGAGAGCAAAGGAGATGGGAAGGGAGAGGAGAGAGCGAGGGCGATGGGAAGGGAGGGGAGAGTAGCTAATGTTGGGAGGTCACGATAAAGTAGCTAATTTGTGACTGAAACAGCCATAGCTGCCTTAAACAATAAGCAACGCATATAGCCTTTCAATGCCATTTTGTTCTACAGACCCCGGTGCAGCGAGCATGCACTCGAGAGCAAGCCCACCAACTGGATTCAGGGATCCAATTTTTACACAATGACCACATACCGAATAAACGAACAGCACAGATTTGGGTTGGGAAAAGAATGCGAGAAACGGGTAGGGAATCGGGCACGGAGAATAGAGCAATCAGCTGGTAGTGCATGTGAGTACTCTTCATTGTGAATCAGCACAGGTCTATAAGTTTAATCATCACTCTGCTCAGACACATATACGTAGGTCAGAATTCGATGAGTTGCCTTTGAGTATTTGCCTCAGTCGAAAGATGGTGATTGGTTTTAGAATCAAAGCCAGGCTCATGATTGGACAAGTCTGCATCATTGGCAAATGGCTGAATGTATCCATCAAGCCAAACATATGAAAGTTAGGTTAGGCTAAGAAGCACACATCAAATATAGGGTGGACGGAAAGTCAAGCCTTAAAGCTGGAACACCAAGTAGCAACTTGCCTCAGTTGAAAGATGATGATAATGTTTGGTAAATCAGAGACAGGCTCATGAATTGGAACACGTTTACATCACCGGCAAGTGGCTCTGCCAGACTGATAGCTCCAGCCAAAAAGCAAAGGTTTATAAAGGAAAAACAAGCAAAACAGACACCCAAACATAACAGGTTTGGTCAAGAGAGCTGTCAGCTGGTAGTGCATGTGAGTATTCTTAATTGTGTATCAGCACAGGTCTATGAGTTTGATCATCAAGCTGCTCTGACCCATGACTTTATAAGAGCAGGAAAAAAATGGGTTTGAAAGATTGGAGCAATGCAGAGCAAGGTCGAAAAAGAATCGATTGCCTCAGTCAAAGTTGAAATTCTGTGATTGTGTGCAATCATAGGCACGCTCAGCAGTTTACAGAAATAAGAGCATCATTGGCAACATGGGTGGACCGAGCATTAGGGAACACCAGTGAGTTGGAGACCGTCAAGGTACCAGCACTGAGGTGCACAAGTACGACTTGACGAATGCTACTCTTATAGCAGTCAAAGATGGAAAATGTAAAAGACCCAGTAGAGGGACACTCATAGGACCCGACGGCTCATTGGCAAATAGGATTGGTGACAGGAGCAGTCAGTTGGTAATGCATGTGAGTACTCCTCACTGTGAATCAGCACAGGTCTATGAGGTTGATCATCATGCTGCTCCTATGACCATACTGGATGCTGACATACTAGCAGAGACAGGGAGTAGGACGTGACTCATTTGAGCACGCTGCTGCTTCCAGTAGCAACAGAGAGTCATGCAGTTTTGAACCTTACGCTAAGTGGAAGGGGCTCGGGAAGGAATCATTTGTCTCAGTAGAGTTGAAGTTCGGTTATATCTGCAATCACAAGCACGCTCAGGAGTTTACGGAATTAAGAACAACACTGGCAAACGACCCCACCGAATAGTACGTGGTAAAACCGAAACCTAAAGGGGAGGAGCCCTGTGTTGGATGCACGTCATTTTGAGTGCATGTCATCCTAACGTCCTGCCGAGTGCTCGTGCTATTCATGCGTGCATTGTTTGCATGAGCATATGTTATTGTGCATGGCTGTTGGATATTATCATCTCTGTGTTTTTCTCCAAGTCTACATGCTTTATCATGCAGGAGAAATCCAGAGCTTTCCAACGATACCAAGATCGCCTTATTCCGACCAAGATCGCCCAAGTTACAAGATTTCCAAGTTTTGGGAATTCTATCTCATTTTGAGATATTATCTACATTGGGTGATATTGGGTCATGACTATAAAGGGATCTTTGGTTGGGTGGTTAGGAAGGCAACTTTGACTTTTGGATTGGGGTGGCTAGAAGTTTCTAGCATGGGTTGCAAATGTTGCAACACCTAGGCAAAATCCAACTAGATTGGATTTTGCATGTGACACCTCAAGGACCTCATGATGAGGGTTGCATCCTTGCTGCTAGGAAGGTTCCTACCATCCTTCCCTAGCTCTTGGAGAACCCCTTCCCTCTCATGGTTCTCTTGGAGGTCCCCAACTCCAACTTCCTATGCCTTAATGCTTGTACCTCCTCTACCTCTCTAGTTATGCAGCTGCTGGACGTTTTCAATTGGTTCTCACTCTATAGACCATCTTTTTAAGTGATTCAAATTGGAGATGGTAGCTAAGCCTAAGGCGCAACATCCTACCGAGCGGATTTGCGTTTAGTTGAGAATTGAGTTCGTCGTAAGCTCTCGAAGTGACGGATCCTGAACAACACCCTGGGGACGAGGCAAGGTGAATGGCCATGGCACTGACCTGTGGTTATAGCGCAGAGCTGGTCAATGGTCCGTTCAGCCCGGTCGATGCTGAGACCATGGGGGACAAGAGCTGACGTCAGCCTGTTTCACGCCACGTCAGCGGCACTGAAGCCAAAGCAGCTCCAGCGAAGGCAAGTACACTCCACATCCGTGAAGACGAGTCAGAGGCGAAGCGGAGTCACCGCCATTCAAACGGGTCAGCAAGTGTGTATGAGAGCCGCCTGGCACTGTCCGCTGCTCTCAGGATCCTTCGCTTGGCCTCCAGGTAGGTGATATACGGCAAGCCCGGGTCCAGCATTCGACTCAGAGGCAGCTCCAACAACTTCAGCACGCACATGCAGGCACCAAGCACGCACCGAGCACGCACCGAGCACGCACCAAGCATGCAACAGGAACAAACCAGAAGACAAAACAGCAGCAAGCATCGGCCCCAAACAGGCACCCATGGATGCATTAAGTTAAATTAAGCAACCAAAAAAAAAGGGGATAGCGAACGGATGTGAGAGGAACAAACAATGGGAAGAGGTGATGGGGCAAAGGACAAGCACTAAACAAAGATTCTTAAATATTCTGTGATCTCCATCTCACGTGAATGGTCAAATCCTTCTCCACTTCTTTTGCAAACCCCCTCGTCTCTGCGCCAAACCTCGTCCCCCGCGGCCCCCAGTAGTGGTGCATGCGCAGCTGTGAGGGATCCGCGCGCTCAGTTGCGCCCACGGCCATGGGGAAGAAGTGCGACGCAACTCGTATGTCCGCCCACTGCTCCACCGCCGCCACGCGCACCATGGGCTTGGAGCGATGCAGGTACTCCCGCCACTCCGCCAAGTGCTGGCACTTAGAAAAGTGGCGAAAGAGCAGGGAGGAGCAAGGGGCTTCGCTGTTGCCTACGAAGAAAATGTTTGGCGCGAGGACCTGGAGATGGGTTCAAAACGGTTAGAGGGAAGAACAGTTGGAGAGAAGAACGGTTGGAACGATTTGAGACATGAACAGTTGGAAACATCGGAGGAGGGGGGGTCGAAGAGGGACGGGAACAGGCATGCGAAGACGCAACAAAAAGAAAGGGAGTTGGAGAGTTGGAGGAGGGGGGGGGGGGGGGGGGGAGGGAAGTGGGGGGTCGGATAGAGGGAGGGGAACAGGAAAGCAAAGACAAGGCAAAACGGAAAGGGTTGGAAACATCGGGCATTCTTGACGCAGTCAGGTGCGCGCAAGACGCTTACCTGGGTGACGGAGGGATCCACAAGGGAGACGTTGCGCATGAAGCGGAAGAGGAAGCCCGCGCGAAGATTCCGAGGTTCGAAAATGAACTCGTCGACGTCGCAGAACAGCACCCACGTGGACGCGTTGCGATACTCCCTGAGGTAGTGCAGTGTCGCGCCGTTCTGCTCGGGAAAGACGTTGTACGCGGCGGTGAGGATGCGGTGCAGCGGAAGGTAGGTGACGTAGCCTACGCGGATGAAGGGACCGAGGGCTTAGGACTAGCGTTCCGAGGCGTCGTGCGCGCAATCGTACCAGAAGACGTGCTCCACGATGGCGAGGCGCATGAAGGCCACCCACTGCACGACAACACCAAGCATGAATTTCACACCGGGGATCATCCAGCCAGCCTTCGAACACAGCCCCTTCACACCACACCAACGTAACCAAGCACACCAATGGGAGAAGGTAAGTCATGAGAAAGGAAGGTGCCACTGGGACCACCGAGATGTGAGACCAGCGAGATAAGACGACGAGATAGGAATAAGAGCACATGCAGAAACGGAATAGAGACGGAAACGAGAGAACGGTGAGATAGGACGGCAAGAAAGGAACAAGAGCTTATGCAGAAACGGAATAGAGACGGAAAAGGGAGACCAGCGAGATAGGATGGCGAGATAGGTACACGAGCACATGCAGAAACGAACTAGATACGGAAACAGGATGGAAGGTGGGTAAGTTGGAGGGTGGGATGGAGGGGGTGGGGAGTGGAGGGGGGAGTTCAAGGGAAAGGAGCGTAGAGGAGTGCACGATATATTTCTGGTGAGAGGGTGCTGGGGCTTGCCTGCCAGATTTCAAAGGAGGAGAAATTGAGTCGGTCACCGCGGAAGACGCGATTGTATACCATGGCAGAGAGGAAATACTTGGGGGATGCCGACACTCTCGGAGGAGCAGGCGGAACAAATTTGTCGATCGCCATGTCCCCTGAGACATCGTTTAGAAGCTGCCTTGAAATATCACCATACAATGCAATATCCATCAAGTGCGCCGTGTGAAAATCCGAGTTCCCGGCAGCACCACCAGCCTGATCTGGAACCTCCTCAGATTTCACCGAGTTGGCAACTTCAACATCCTCAGCATCGTCAGACACTGTGTCACGCACTACCATGCTGTCTATAACCGCATCGTTTGGAGCTCCATACAATTTTGTATGTGTTGTCTCCCGTTTGTGTTCTGCTCGCGCAGATGGTGGTAGATCGGAGGCTCGCCCCGGCAAATCACAGTCTCCTACGGAAGCGGCAGAGCGTCGACAGGCGGGTGAGCAGGGAGATGCAGACCCTCTGGCTCTCGCGCAATGGCCTCGAAATCAGCGTCGACTGCTGATCTGAACATGCAGTGCGATGAGCGGAAGGTACGCTTTTGATTAGCATACAAAATATGGAAATCCATAAGACAACCTAGACAGGAAATTAGCAATAGCGAAGGAAAACCTTAATCCTGCAAAAGCGGGATTCGGTTGAATTGGCAGAATACTTACAGTGCGGGAAGTCGTTTTGCCAACGCATCAAGCTTGGTGCGGAGATCAGAGAGAATAACATTGGCGCGGAAGAGATTCGTTGGCGTCAAACCCATGCAAGCTTGGACGCCGTCTTGCTTCAACTCTTTCCCATTATCGGTTCGTGGTTGCGCTGTAATGCTTGCCTGGAGAAAAGGTTTGAGTGAATTTAATTGGAAATCATTAGATAAGCAACATGTGACTAATTCTGAAAAACGAGCGACATGGAAGCGATTGATAAGGAAGAAATTGGTGAATGGACATTGGTTTGAGAGAGATTTCAATCAACTCCAAAGTCAATAGGAACTTCACCATGGCAATGTCGCCGATGCCTGATGAAGCCTCGCGAAAGAATGGCGCCGAGACTCGGTAGGCCAGATCCTGAAGGAACATGGCCGTCATGACGCCTAGCAGCACGTTGAAGGAGAAGCGTAGATGATGCTGCACGATGAACGATCCACATAACGCTGACGCCGGCACCATAGCAGATGCGGATGCCGTCGTGGCTAGCAATTCGGATTTAGAGGCAAATTTTGAAATAATGCATGCCTGTCAGCATGCTTACTACTTCGCAGGAATCATGACGACGCGATGTGGGGAAAATCCCAACGACACGCATCACCTCGTGACTTCTAGCAACAGCTGGTCTTCAACTTATGGAAGCTATATACGACCCTACAATTTGAGATGAGGACTAGCAGTGCTTGACGAGGCAAAAAGCCTCAGCGATGGAGAGCCAGGTGTGTCAATGCAACAGCAAGGAGAGAGTGGGAGGCTTGAGCATGAGAGGACAGAAAGGGGATGTAAGGACAGAACATTGGTTATAGCATGAAACGGCAAAAGAGGGGATGTAAATGAGAATGTGAGGGGATTAGGTCGATGGATAAGGGTGGGGACTACATGAGATGTGATAATGAGAATGTGACGGGTTGAGAGGATTTCAATGGCAGAATTGTCTGATGAGAGATGATGTGGGGGAAGAATATGGTATGAGAATGAACGAGAGTGGATAAGACGGCTGGTGTGCTGATGGGCTAGAGTGAGATGACGTCAGAGGGGATGAGTAACAGAATGCGGCAGGCTGCTAGAGTAGGATAGGAGACGGGGTAGTAGGGGCGGGAGGGCATTGGGAGCGAGAGAGAGAGTGGGGATGAAAATGCAAGTAGATAGCGAGACAATTGTGAGGTTTACGCAGCAAGGAGAGAGAGAGAGGGCACAGCAATCCGAGCGGGGTAGCGGCAGGAACGGTTGTGAGTAGGAGGTAGAATGCTTGAATGCTTTGTGTGCGTGATACCTATACTTTGCATGTGTGTACACCGCAACAATCAATGAAAGGACCATGAGAAAGAGAGAGAGAGAGAGAGAGAGAGAGAGAGAGAGAGAGAGAGAGAGAGAGAGAGAGAGAGAGAGGACAGAGAGAGAGTGAGGCACCTAGGCCTCTTCCCTTAGCCTCTCAGCCCTTGTTCCCTAGTATAAAGGCTCTAGCAGCTAGCCTAGTTCTTCATTGTTCGGTTATTCTTTCTCCTAACCGAGCGGCTCGCACCGGCCGCCTTCGGCGGCCGCCGCTCGATTTTGCGGCCTTCGGCCGCGCGTGAGGGGACGGCAAGTAATCACAACAAGGCAGTTTATAGCAACAACCGTTACACACATGGCAGCAACTACAGCGGCCTAGCCGCGTGATTCACCTATGGAGCAACCGGAGCCCGCGCCTACATGCGGTGAGCTCCAAGGGCGTGAAGAACGCCCGTCAGGGAGCGCCACAGCTCCCGGACCACAAGCGTGCTTGCGCCGATCGCCGCGGCTCCAGATCCTGCGCGCAAATGCCGCTTCAAGCTCCGGACAGCCTCGTCCAGCTGTCCCGCAGCAGCAGCGCCACCCTCCGCGGGCGCAGCCAGCACGGGCGCCAGCAGCACCGCGAGCTGCTCTGCCGCATCCAAGCAGGTCTCGCGCGGACGGTCGCGGAACGTCTCAGGGGGGATTACAGGGAGGGTCGAGTGAGCGAGGACCTGTATCAGCAGCAACGCGTGGAGGCTCTCCGCGAGACGGTGGAGCTGACCGAGCGTCGCCTGAGGAACACGCGTCTGCGGAGGCTGAAGCACCTCCGCCAGGAACTGGAGCGGCCCGTCAACAGCGGCACGATCTGCATACTGCGCCGCCGCCGCGCCACCACCCGCGGCCACAAAGTCCACCCCCGCAACAGGTGGAACCGGTGGCAAATGTAGACGGGATCCAGAGGGGGGAGCTGAGGCAGCGGGAGCAGGAGCCGTTGGAGCGTGAAGCTGTGGAGGGGGTGCAGCGGCCGGCGGCAGGCTCATCGGGAGCGAGGGCTGGTGAGGAGGCTCGTGGGCAGGCGGGGCGCGCATCGAACTACTCTGACTCTGCGCCGCCCTCTCCTCGCGCATGGCCCTCGACACCTCCCGCTGGAGATCCGCCATCGTCACCGGCGGACGATACACCCCTCCACGCCCGCGGGAACCCCTCCAGTCGCCTTGGCCCCCGTGGTGAGGCAGGCCATTGGGCCTGCTGCTGGTACCGCCGGGGGGAATCGCGCCGGCGGCGTGACGACTTGCGCTCCTGGTGGGGCGCCGGCGAGTGGGGACGGGACTGGCGCGCTGGCTGGCCCGTCGTTGCAACAAGAAGAGCCTCCGGAGCAGGGTGACCCACTGCGGAAGGTGCCGGCACCGGTGCCGGGCCGCCAGTGGTGGCGGACGCCGCCTGCAGTGACGAGGCCGAGGCCGTAGCAAGTGCGCCAGGGGCAGCCGCGATCGGCGCAACGGGCGCGCCCTGGGCAGGAACGTGCGCGTCAAGAACAGCAGCAGACGGTGGAACAGTCAGGCCAGGGCCGGGAGCAGGCGCGCCGGGGACAGCAGCAGATGGTGCAAGGACCTCGCCAGGGGCAAGAGCAGGCACGACGGGAGCGGCAGGAAGCGGAGCAACAGAGCCCTGCGCAGGAACGGATGAGCCAACAGCAACTCCCCCTTGGCCAGACACCGGCGAATCCTCGTGACGAGCCGGGGGAGGCGCCGGAACAGGAGCAGCGGGCGGGGCGGCCTGAGCAGGGCCCTGGGCTGCAGGATGGGGCCCTGCAGCAGCAGACGGATCCACGTGTTCGGGGGGAGGAGGCTTTTCAGAGACTGTTGTCGAGGGCCTCAGAGCCGGTAGCACGGGGGGCTTCGTCGCCGTGGTCCCCGTTCCGGGGACCGACGGGTGTTTGGCGGCGACAGCCGACCAGGCGGCAACGCGCTCTGGCGACGGCTCAGGAGCTCCGGCAATCACCATCGCAGGCGCAGAGAGGTCGCGGGGCGGGAAGGCGTACGGAAAGCGGAGCGGGTGGTGGCCCAGAGAACGGATACCAAGCGGCGGCGCGGGAGGCTTTAAATAACTTGGAAGTAACTAATGACGCTGACGAGCTTCGGGATGCCACTTATAGGGAGGAATCCGCAGCCTCGAGTGAGACTGATGAGGCCGAGGAGGAGGAAGGCGGGGCGAGAGCGAGAGATTGAACGAGGAGAAGGGAAGCAGCCGGGGAGCATACACGCCTGCAAAGGTCACGGGCGACACAAACGCCGTCCGATGCTGATCGGACGGGCGTGCTTCCAACCACAACATCCTATGTGCGAACGGGCCGCGGGCAGAGTAATCGGACCGCGAATGCAGACCAGGCGACACGCGCAGCCGCCTCGACTCACCGCTATTTTTCGCCTGACGAGCTGGCGAAGCGAGCCGACCTGTTCGCTTCTGTAGGGAATTGGGATACCACAGCGCTATGTGACAGTCGTCAGCCCTCGCTGTCATGGCGCCTTCCGCCGAATTTATGTCAGCTGTTCTCGTTGGCGTTACTGACACCGTTGCTACACCTCTCGCGAAACCCCGAGTCAGATATGGGTTGGCGCCTTCTGTTGCTTCTGCCGCACCTAACACTTCGCCAAAGCTCGCCACGACGACCGGACTGGTCGAAAATCAAAGCTCGACTCCGAGCCTTCCAGCGTGGCGAATGGGAGCAGCTGTATCATGATGCGGTGGACGCAGTCAACACGCCCCCTCCGCCTCGTCACCAGCCCGACGCGACCGGTGTGCTCAGCCGAGCCGAGGGCTTGGCGAAACGTGGCAGCCTGCGAAGGGCTGTACTCGCACTCGAGTCAACGCCCGTCTGTGCCCCGACCCACGAAATCTTGGAGGAGCTGCGCTTGAAGCACCCGCCAGCTGAGCCGGAGGAGGTTACATGGCCCACGCCACACGGATCAACGCTTTCAATCCCACACGCAAACTTCGCCAAAATGCTAGGCAGGTGTGAAAATGGAGTAGGAGCCGGGCCGTCGGGCATGACATTTGAGCATCTACGCGACGCGGCAATCACAAATGCACTGGTCAGCACCCATCTGCACGCCTTAGTAAACACCATCTTGGGAGGAAATTTGCCAGCCTCGGTGGCAAACCTCCTCACCGCATCACGTTTGATCGCCTTGGCCAAACCAGGGGGAGGGGCTCGGCCTATCGCGATAGGCGAATGCCTGACGAGGCTGGCTGCCAAGGCAGCCCTGCCGATTTCTTCCTGCCCCTACAGTACGGCGTGGCTATGCCAGGTGGAGCCGAAACAGTGATCCACGCGACCAGAGCCTACCTGGACGCCCGCCCCAACAGCCTCGTTCTGCAAGCGGACATTGCGAACGCGTTCAACAACATTTCGCGTCACGCCATCGCCACTGCGTTACAGCACCCCGCCCTCTCGCCACTACTGCCATTTATGAAACTCACCTACGGTAACCCGTCGCAGCTACCCCTGGATGTTAATTTCAACTCCGAACCCCTGCGGAGCGAACGCGGTGTCCGTCAGGGGGACCCCTTGGGTCCATTACTGTTCGCAGCCGGGATGCACGCCACACTACGCGACACTGTCACCACGCACCCGGACGTGCTTTGTCTGGCCTACGCAGACGATATCACGTTCATTGGGAACATGGCTGACACTGTAGCTGCATTCAACTTCTTCACATCCAACCTGACACAATTGGGGCTGTCACACAACCCGCGTAAGTGTGCAGCCTGGAGCAGCGCGGTAGCCGAAGCTGATCAACTGCCGCAAGGGGTCCCTTTTTCAAATGACGGCGTGCGGCTGCTGGGGAGTTTCGTAGGCCCCGATCGAGGGGCAGCGCAGTTCCTGACGGGGCAGTTGCAAGAGATGGCGAAACCACTCCCACTCCTGGAGAAAGCTGATCCCCAGGTCACATCCCTGTTGCTCACGCGCTGTATCTCGAGGCGGGTGGCGTATCTCACCAGGACGACGCCACTCCGCCTGCTAAACCGCGACGCCTGGAGCCAGTGGGGGATGGATTTACTCACAACGTTGCTAACAGCTTGCGACATCCGCGTACCATCCTGCCGCGTGGAGCAAGCCCGCGTTTGGGCGCAAGCTTCACTGCCGCCATCGCTGGGAGGGGTCGGCATCACGGACCCCTTAATCGAAGGGGTGTACGGCTTCGCGG